TTAAGTAGAGTTACTAAGGCTTCTTATAGAAAGGAAGTATAACCCTAGACACCTTTACCTAGATCTATAAAGACCTAGAACTAGTAAGGATAGTAGACAAGTGCTTTAAGATATATAAATAGCACTTAAGGGAGATAAAGCAGGTAGCTAATTTAGGGTAGTGCAGGACTATATACTACTCTATTATTTAATAGCTAGTATAAGGGGATATAGGATACTAGCTCTAATATACTATAATCTAGGAAACTATAAACCTAATCTTATACTTATACTACACTAAGTATACCTAGGCAGGAGACTAGATATTCTTTTGTTACGTAGATGTAAACCTTTCTAAGGCAGCGTAGTTAGGATAAGGGCTTAAGATAATCTAAGGCTTAGTTTCTTTTAATAATAAGGACTAAAATAACTATACTAAGCTCCTAATTAGATTTAAAGAAGTATAGAAGAATTAGGTAAATTAGATAGATAGGGGGTTAAGGAGGAACAAGAGGGCCTATATCTAGGTATAGGAAGATAGGGTGCACTAGCCTAAAGAGCTAAGGGAGAAGTGCCCTATAGTAAGATAGGAGAAGGAAATCTGTTAAAAAGAATAGGCAAGGATTATAAGCCTAGTAATACTATATAGATCTACTAGACCTACTACTTAAACGCAGCGTATAGTTCTACTATAGTATATAAAAGTATAGGATAATATAATAATAATAGAGGTGCTAGAGATAGGGATATATATAAAGATCGCACTAGCCTACCTATAGATAAGTATAGCCCTAAAGACTTTATTAGGGCACCTAGTTAAATATAGTAAAGTCTAATAGCAATTTCCTAGAGATATCTAGGCTACCTATCTAACCTAGGTCTTAAAGGCAATTATATATTAGGTTTAATAGGATAACCCTTTAGTAAAGGTAGAGATCTAGAAGTACCTAATAGGAGATTTAAATAGAGAAAGGATAGGAGTATAGATTAGGAAGAGTTAGGTTAAGATAGTAAAGGAGTTAAAGAAGAATTAGGCTATCTATATTAAGAATAAGAAGCTTATATTTAGTAAGGATAAGGAAGCTAGGGTACTAGACTAATCCTATTTTAGTATAAAGGGGGTATAGCCTACTAAGGTAGGAGAGTAGTAGAGGTATAATAGATAGATTAAGCAATTAGAGACTCTAGATATAGTTAAAAAGTATCTAGGAGCTATTAAAGAGGAATAAAAGGTAGAGGGATCTAGGCACCTAGGGCTAGGCTATACAGGAAGCCTAGTAAGGGTATAGAGGAGAACTATCTTATTAAGTTTAGGTTTAAGATTAGAGACCCTAGATACTCCTACTCCCTTACCTAAAGCTTAATAAGCTAGGAACTAGGGTCGCAGACCTAGAGGAGGAGAGTAAGGGCCAAGCTTAATAGGGCTAAGCTTAAAGGAGGGGGAGGTTTGTGCTATAGTATAGGATATATAGGAGAAAAACAAGGCTTAGCCTAAAAAGTTAGGTAGATTAAATAGTATAAAGGTATAAAGGATTAGAGGATAGGATAAGGATAACTCTAGTAGACTTTACTTTAACTCTACAATATTATCTTTTTACTTATGTTTCTGCATTAAACCTATATCCTCTACTATAGGATCCCTACTATTAAACCTTGCCCCTCTTACTTCTCCTCGTTTGAATAGGTTACTCTCCCTAACGGTTTAATAGTTCTAATTATTCTAATAGTTCTAGTTATTCTAGTTCTTCTAGATATTCTAGTTCTAGTTGTTCTAGTTCTAGTTGTTCTAGTTCTGCTTGTTCTAGTTCTAGTTATTCTAGTTCTAGTTATTCTAGTTCTAGTTATTCTAGTTCTAGTTATTCTAGTTCTAGATATTCTAGTTCTAGTTATTCTAGTTCTAGTTGTTCTAGTTCTAGTTATTCTACTTCTAGTTGTTCTAGTATTTCTAATATTTTCTAGTTAGCCTCTTAGTATTATTACTCTATTCCTACTAATACGCGTTAGCCACGTCCTAATATAGGCCTACTATTTTTGCCTTAATAATATTAATTATTAATACTACCTATTTTCTAATTTTTCCCTACCCCCCTTATACTAGAAGAAACGTCCTCTTAGTTATATACTACTAGGCCCTCCCCTTTACTAAGATAAGATAAGTTTCCCTTAGGCTTTGCTATTTAAACTAACAGGGAGAGTAACCTATTTAAATAAGGAGAGGTAGGAGGGGTAAGGTTTAATAGTAGTAATCCTATAATAAAGGATATAAATTTTATACAGGATTATAAGAGAAAAGTTAATATTCTAGAGTTAAAGTAAAGTCCCTAGGAGTGATACTATTCTATCCTCTAATCCTTCATGCCTTTATACTATTTAACCTGCCTAACCTTTTACGCTAAGCCTTGTTTTCTCCTATACACCCTATGCCACAGCACACTAGTAGCGCATAGTCCTCTTTATAGTTATTTCCTGCTAGGAAATAACTTTCCCACAATATGTAGGTATAGGAGGGGGATGTTTTAGTAATAGTAATAGGGTGTATTTATAACGCAGCTACTAACTATATTACCCTTAAGTAAACCCTCTATGTATATTAAGACCTCTATATTACTCTATTAGTAATAGAAATAATTTTAATAAATGCTAGACCCTTAAATAATAGTCTGTGCAAGAAGAATTCTTTACTAAAGGTAGGACTTTTATAAGGACATAGGTGGTAGGGGTTGTAGGAAATAGGTTTTAGGTCTATGGAGGTAGCTTTTAAAAGTTCTTGCTAACAGGGGTGTCTATATTACCGCCGTGATACCACTAAAGCTTAGACTACTCTGTTACGCTGCCCCTCCTTATACTTATTACTACCTTCTAGTCTAATAATCTGCTAAATATAATACTATATACGCTCTATCCAAGCCTAGATTTAGTGTTAAGGTAGCTTATCCTAAGCCTTTAACTATACTTTTGTACCCTCTACTCTACTCTTAAGAGCGCCCTTCCTAATAGTGCGTGGTAAAATACCTATAATAGCACTAATTTAGGTAGTAGATTTGCTACTAAAAGGTAACTTTAGAGTTATAATAAGCGCACAGGTATAGGGATTAGTATTAGGAGCTATAGTAGAGTAAAAACACTAAAGGATTAAGTAGATAGACTATTACTACTACTATCTACAGCTTTAAAATTGAGTGTGTGTAGGCCAAGAAAGTCAGGCCAATAGATCAGCCGCTAACAAATACGCTAGCAAGAACTTTTGAAAGCCACCTCCGTAGGTTTGCAGGAAATAGGTTTTAGGTCTAGGTTTGCAGGAAACAGGTTTTAGGTCTAGGTTTGCAGGAAACAGGTTTTAGGTCTAGGTTTACAGGAAACAGGTTTTAGGTCTAGGTTTGCAGGAAACAGGTTTTAGGTCTAGGTTTGCAGGAAACAGGTTTTAGGTCTAGGTTTGCAGGAAACAGGTTTTAGGTCTAGGTTTGTAGGAAACAGGTTTTAGGTTTTAATTTTCCTCGTATGGTTATTTCCTGCCACACGCTAGTAGCGCACAGTCCTCTTTGGGTTAGAAACGACTTTCCCACAATATATAGGCTTGTAACCTAGACAGTTAGCTTATTGTGACCTAGACGAATAACATTTGCTAAGACATACAGGACAGCAGTAAGACCTACTATACTACTAGTCTCACTACCTAGCTTGGACATCAAGCTTCCCAAGCTAACGATTGTCTTTGGTCTACCTTTTCCTACTATCAAGCCATGTGTCTTCCCAGCGCTTGACTGCCCTCCGCCTCCAGGCCTACCTGGACCAAAGAACACGAACATGGTGGTAGGACTAGCACCTAACCCTTTAATAAAGCCGCTGGTTATTAGGCCTAACGACCCTAATAAGCTAGAAGAGAAAGGTGAAGAAGACGATGAGGACGACTTCTGCCTGATTCCTAGTTCGACCAAGGAACTAGGTAGATAGCAAACCTACCACCACCAAGAAACCAAGCCCACAACCACTAAGACGGCGGAGTCCACCACGACTAAGAAGCCTAACCCGCCGCCCATGCTAGCTAAAGACAAGCTAGATTTTAGCAAGGATAGCAAGCCTAGTGCGACAACTCTAGCCACGAAGCCAAGCGTGGTTTAATGATCGAAGCTATCACGGGACCATACTTAACACGTATTGACTTTCTACCTATAGAGTTAGACAAGTCATAAATGGTGCACACTACCACGTTCAAAGTAAAGAGTGGGTGTGAGTGGAAAGTTAGTGGGTAGAACTATGTTATTTTTGCATTACTAGCACCTACCTTTCACCGGTTGACACCCGACCATGGTCACTGCTCTCATCCTATCCATAATGGATAGGTTGTTAACATGTCCTAGTTAGGACTAGTGGATGACGCGTATATAGAGCGGCCTAACCCCTATGATAGTTTAAATCAATACTTTCTACAATAACTTCAAACTATAGGTAGGAGTTTAGAAAGATTGTAGGTAGATGCGACACGAGTTGCGAAGACAATAAGGGTTAGGTAAACGAGTGGCAGTGCGCTCACCGCTCCACAAACTAAGTACTTTATTGGTGAGGCGGTGAAGTGGTCCCGCTACTCGTTTAAACCTGTTGCAGAATGGAGCATATAAGCCTATGCTCTAGTTTAGCCTAAGCTCTATTAAGGGGTAAGTTGGCGTTAAGATTTTCCTCTAGACAACTGGCGAGCAGAGGACACTGCAGATCCTCATGTAGATTAGGTAAGTAGAAAATTAGCACTGATCGAGCTTACGTTCTCCTTTCTACAAGAGTATATTTAAGCTCTATCCTGATAGTTATAATCTAATACCAATCTCCTAAGTTATTCCTACGCTTATAGTCACCCTTTTTCACAGAATCCTAAAGCTTCTGTTAGCTTCTACCTTGCAGTATATTAACAGCAAGAGGTGTTATTTACTCTATTACTCTATTACTCTATCGCACACAAATATTGGCTCAGATTTGCTACGATGAAGCTGCTACTTCTTACTATCGTCGCAGCGCTTAGTTCTAGGTAATCTCTGAATTTATACACTTACTAGATAGAGTTGGCTAATTCTTATATAGCGCTGTAGCTGACTTACATAACAAATGCTATTGTTATAAAAAATCACCTAAAGGATTAGTACGTATCTCCCTAAACACATAACTACTAAGAAGTGTATTAATATCCTTATAGTACATTGCTAATGATGCGAGCACAGCTATAATGTGCGATGCTTATAAGAAAAGAAACACTCCTGGCAAACAGAAATCGAATACATGTCCTGACTGTCAATACACCAAAGAGAGTATTCTTCTAAAACCGCACCCAGAGCCTGCATCCTGCCAGTCTCCAGACTACCACCTTGGTGGGGACGAAGTAAGTTTATATTAACACATTTTCAAGTTGTGCACCCTTAGTAACAACACTAGGTCCATTACTACTGTAAGAAAGCTCAAGCTGATGGATCTCGTTGCGAAACCCCTCGAGCATGGTGCGAAGACCATTATTGTACTCCTGAGGATGATGTTGTGGGATAATATTGTGCCGTGGCACGGAGGACACGATGATAAGCAAGGCTTAGTCTGAAATAGATAGGTTGAAGGTATAAAGGGGGGGAGGATTATAGGATAGAACGACACCTCATGACACCTTAACACAACTTATTGATAAAATTTCTTCACCTTAATCCTTCTTTTAAATTAAGCCAATGACTAAATGTTTTCTTCCACCAAGCTCTACCCTTCCTCCTTCTCCTTGTTTAAATAGGTTACTCTCCCTAATAGTTTAATATATACTAGTAATAGTATTTAAATAGCGTTAGCGCTATATAAGATCTAAGAACTAATATTATTTATTTATATATATTAGGATTATTCTTTTAGGTTGTAGCTATTACTGCCCCCTTTTTATTAGGGAGAGCGCTAGCTTACAATTACGAATTCCTTTAGCCCTCCCTTAGAACTTTACTCTATGTAAGACGTCCTTATAGCTTAGGAATATTAAATAAATAGCCTATATCTAATAGTAATAATAACTACAAAGTTATAAACGCTAAAAATAGGTTTAGGCTAAGGGAATTGAATTTTTTAATAGAGTTTATAATAAATACATAATTTAATTCTAAGATAAACAGCGTATCTAGTTCATTTATATTAGGTGTGGCTATAGAGCTAAAGGTAGGTAAAGGTAGTAGTTATAAGTAATTTGTGAATACGCTAGTCTTAATTAGGAGTAAAATACGCATTTTTGTAGTACTTCTAGTAGCATTACTATACTATGTATTAAGGGATACTTAGGAGAGAGAGTTGTTTCTAGTAGTCTACTTTAGTATTCTCTACTATACTCTACTATATTACTCTTATATAGTGTGCCTAGTAGGTACTAGTAGCACTACTATCGTTAGATAGAGGCATAGTTTTAAATATAACGAAATAGCCTAGTATATAATAGCTAAGAGGATTCTAGAACTATTAAATACTAGATTATACCTACCTACTATTATCGTTAGGCTACAATATAATAGTGTGTAGGTTAGGCTAATTAGGGCATATTATAGTTAAAGGGTGCGCTAAATCTTACCTTTAGATACAAATTATAACTAACGACCTTATAATAAAAAGTATACTTATAGTAGAAAGGTATAAAGGTATAATAAATACATATTTATTAAGAATTATAGTTATGTTATCTATTTAGTTAGTATTTATTATATGTTTATTAATATACTAGCTATACCTATTACCCCCTTTTTAATAGAGGGGGCGCTAGCTTGAGATTACGTGTTCCTTTTGGTCTTCCTCCTAGAACACTGCTATCTGACAATAACCTGATAGATTTAGTGTTCGCGTGCGTTTGGTGGGGACGTACGTTTGGTGGTGGAACACATAATCTCATAAGTGGTAATTTAGCCGCTTCTCTATATTTGCCCCTGTCTTTGGTCCATACTTGATAATTGGAACATCTAGCTCTGGTAATGAAACCTCTTTGCTCTCATCAATTACCTGTAAAGTCTTAGGTACTTGGACCGTTCTAGCCCTAAGCTTGACCCTCCCAATAATCTCAAATCCCCCCTTAAGGTAGAGCGGAAGGCCCTTCGTGGACGCATCTGCGAATATCGGAACTTGCTCTGCATTCGCTCGATCAAGAGCCCATGCCATCAGCCGTTTCCCGACACCCATTCGTTGGAATTCAGGGAGTATGGCTAAGGAAGGTGCCTCGATTCTCTCGGGTACATCGCCTATCAGCGTTTCTTCCGCCTCACTGAACTCCTTTATCACATCTGGGGCTGCACATCGAATGTGCGACTTGGCTGCTTCGATATCTAGGAGTTCACGTTGAAGTTCTGGGCAGCTAGTTAGCAACCGTGCTGAGTCTTGTAATTAGAGTCGTGACCCACGCTTTTCCTTCGTATTTGGATTCCAAACGGCTACTGATTCTTTCGCTCCGTAACGTACGGTAGTCAAATAGCCAACAATTTTCTTTTTCTCTTGTGGAGAAGATTTAGGCAAACTTGTGGTGCCATGCATCAGTTCATCTCTGGAGACCTTAGCAACCATGATTACTCCCCCTGGAGTGACCATCAGGCGACGCAGCGTGTTGAAAATCGCATCATAAAAGTCCTCAGGGTAAAATTCTCGAAGTGGATGAAAGTGTCCGTATATAGCTTCTGTCGCGAATGCGGCAGCTCCTATGGAGGCGAGCTGTGCAATGTCCTTGCTTTCTGCTGGCTGGATATGCATCGTAGAATTGAAAACTTGGGTGAGACTAGAGATGAATTTAAAGCTGCTGGTCTTTCTGGCCTTATATCATTAGCAAACTCCAATTGGGTCTAAGAACCAAGAGTACGGTTCTTCGACTCATAGGTACCACTAGGGTAAGTAAGCCGGATGGCGCCAAGTGGAGCAACTGAATCATCGATCAGATGGTTACATATTGGATACATGCTATCGTCTAACTATAGCTGTTAAATCGCGCTCAGATAATGCTAGAATAGGTTTAGTAGCGTGAAGAGAAGATTATCTATACTCAAAGACAGAAGTGGGGTATAAGTTGGTGACTATTGACCACTATGTGGATTAGGCAAACTTGGTAAGATCTCCGAGCCACCGTGGCTCAGGCTGACTGACAATGATTTAGCTGAAGCATCAAACTAATGAAGTGGAACTGCACGGATGTAAACTAATTTTCTCGCTTATAATGCGGGAAGATCATATATGCCGATCTTCTTGAAGCCGCTATGGTGGAGTGTCAAAGAAGTTAAGCCTCCAGACATTAAAGCGAAAGGATGATCATCTCGAACTCCTCAAAGAATAATGTAGATAGAATATGTTTTAAGCCATCTATGGACGTATGTTTCCATCTTACCAATGACATATATGCAGCTTTCTGATTGCGCGTATGGTTCTTACTCTTAATATATCATTCGGCGACGCTTATTCCCACAATGATAGGATGATCATTGACTGGTTTTGGTCATCATTTAGATAGACAGATTGTGCCTCACACCCTGCCATAATGTGACATGATATCCTTGTCACCATCAAGAATCTTGACACAGCGGGCTTCGCTTCCGTAGCCAGGGCCCATAAAAGTGGAATCCACATATTACAAACGCCAACAGAAGACTGACAAGTCCAAGGATGTAGAACGACCATTTTCCGCCTAAGTTACGTATCATGGGCTCCTCTGCGAATGGCAAACTAGCGCCCATGATGTTTCGAATAAAGAAAGAGGATGCAAGTGCGGATGAAGATAAAGTCTAGTAGTGTCATTACATTGCGTGTCCAGGATGATATTTACTATCTGGAGAAAGAGTCAACATACCTGGTAAGCGTCCACAATGTAGACCGTAAGCCCGATAAAGATCAAGAGAAAGCCCAAGCCAAAGACACCCTCGAGAATGAGAGCATATGCAAAATGCGCTCTCCGGGCTGTGGAGTACCCGATGAGAAACAGGGATAGAACAATTAGAAAGCCTCCTAGATAGGCTGGTGGAAGCCGACGACGCTCCGCATTGACTAATGTCTGCATACTCCGTGCTGCAACACGTTGCAGGGGTGTATCAATCATGATATATCCAATGCAAGCGATAATTGTTCCGACGATGAATGGAACAAATAGTAGGCCGGATTCCTGATCTTTCACATATCCCAGCTCGATGAATAAAGGCGGAATTAGCTGGAAAAAAAGATAGAAGATTGAATATTCGAGACTCAGGAACATGCAAATGGTGAATACTATGGGCTCAAAAAAGGCCATCCGAAATGGTAGAAGGAACCTTTGGAGCGAAATTGACATAGTATAGTTGTGGTTTGCGCCTGATACGAAGACCGAATCAGGATTCGTCTCGGGCATAGTGAATAAGGTCAACCAAGACAACCCAGTCACAGCCGTTTGAATCCAGAAGCAGATGCGCCAGGAGTCGCGCCACTTTGCCATAACCTGTAGTGATACAACAGAGGCTACAAGGGAACCAATTGTCGTAGCGGCCATCAGGCAACTAACGATGTAGCCGCGGGTAACTGGCTTGGGGAATATATCAGCCACGATGCCGGCAGAAACCGTCATCGGGGCGGCGGATCCCATACCTGCGAAGAAGCGGAAGACTAGCAGGGAATTCCAACTGGGCGCGACAGCAGAAGCTATAGCAAAGACTAGCATGAGTGAGTGTCCTCCGCCTATTGCTAGTTTCCGGCCGTAGATTTCTCCAATGGGTGCGTAAAGGAAAGGTCCGATTGAACAGCCTATGAGATATAATGCTACAATCAGGGTTCCTTTAGAAGAGGCAATATCGAATTGAGCGGTGATGGCATCTTGAGCGCCGACAGCAATGGAGCTACCAAATGTAGCGGCTAGGGCAGTAGAAAATGCCGCAACCATAGCAGACGTTTTCTTCATAATGCACTAGTTGGTGTGGGCTTAGGACGGAGATGTGCAAAGGTGCTGACGTTGCGGTCAAGGCTTACTCTTGGCGTGAGTAATTGATTGATGATCGTGGGGAGAGTGGATGGATGGTTTGAACAGAGCTTGATGATGTATTGAAGAGCGATTTAAGGATACCGGAGAAGCTAGGGTTTATGTATCATATGTTCCAATAATGACTCAGATCCTAGCTTTGTTCTAGGCTCCGTAGAAGAGCGATTTATTACGGTATAGTAGAGATACTTGGCGAGTCAGCGTTTGGTTGTTATGTCTTCGGAAGCTCCATGACGACTCGGACCCTAGCATCGTTGCAGGGTTGATAATTTTTCGACGCCTTCACATCTGTAGAGAGCCTTTTTCGACAGGGCATACATCGGACATGGGTGATAGAGATGCCCATGCAAAATAGAGCTGCATACCTTGACCAGAGTAAAACCTGCACCACTTGGCTCGGTCTCCAAAAATCTGATCGAAATATAGATTGCGGTTTTTGTTTTCAAGATGTGAAGGCGGTATTATCTATGGCACCTGCCTATACTTTAAGGGTGACTGTTCCATGGGTTCTAACAGCTAGATAAGGACAGCTTTGGACGTCTCTCAACTCCTCTAAATCAATAAGTACTGGAAGCCTAATTTTGTCGCTAAGTTACCTACCTCGACATTATAACCAAATCTCACCATGGTTGTCCTCAACGCTTCCATGCCTTTGGCCCCCATCGAGCCGCTCACACAGCGCAAGCAATTTCCGACCATTGATCAACAGATCAGCGGCAAATCGTTAGCGGGCCAGGTCCGGCAATCAACAAGTAGGCTGGCGGGCCATGTTGTCCGCACACCCACGATTCGCCTGCCGTGGCTTGACCAAGCCGGTGTTGAAGTGTGGGCCAAGCTGGAGTGCCACCAACACACTGGCTCATTCAAGTATCGCGGGGCTCTCAATGCTATGATGCAAAGTCCGGCAGAGACCATCGTCACGGCATCGGCAGGGAACCATGCGTTGGCGATATGTGCAGCTGCACAGCTGCTGGGTAAGAAGTCGACGATAGTTGCTCCTGTAGGCGTGTCTGAGGTCAAGGCGAAACGTCTTGTATCGAATGCCACGCACGTTAGCTTCTTCGGTAACGACCTGGGCGAAGCTACCAGTGTGGCCATGGAACAAGGACGGACGCACACCAGTACACACTATATTTCGCCTTACGCAGATCCCAAGGTAGCGGCGGGAGCGGGAACGTCCGTTGTTGAGGCTTTCGAGGATGCAGGGCCTTTCGACCAGATAGTCGTGCCTTTGGGTGGTGGAGGTCTCGCGGCGGCCATAGCGGCATGGTGTTCAGAGTATGCGACACAGACGCAGGTTACATGTGTACATCCCCGTGTTTTTGGACGCTCCTTTGACAAAACCGCACGCCTCTCGACCCAACTGCGGCGGCCGGTCGAGGCCAGCTACTGCGATGGCCTGGCTGTCCAGCTGGTACAGGAGACGCCCTTGGCCTCCGTGTTGGACTCGCTCATCAGCGACGTGGTCCAGGTGAGCGAAGAGGACGTGGCCATCGCCATTGCGCAGGCCATCCGCTCTCAATCTCTTCTTCTTGAAGGCTCCGCGGCTGCTGCTATCGCCGCCATACCACAGCTTCACTTGCCGTCGACCAGCGGTGGTCGCAAGTCACGTGTGCTGCTGATGTTGACGGGCAGCAACATTGCCGCTAATGCAGTGGCACGTGCTTTGGTCACACACGTCTCCGATCACGACCAACGTCGGTCCATGGGCCTACGCAACATTGTCAACCCGACCGAGCGTTATGGTGCTCTCGACCAATTGACAGTTACCACGAATGCTACCGGTACAGGTAGTGAGCCCAGGGTTGGTGCTGTGCAGCAACAATCATCAGAGCCCCGAGCCATCCTAGCCTTCCTGGCTTCACGACTGCTGGAGTCGGTTGATGCCACCATGCACAAGCTTGAACAGTCCCGCCTGCTGTCCATCCGACTGCAACTTCGTACCGATACCTGGTCCTACTCTGTCGTCGACACTCTCTTTGACCACGTCCGCTCCCTCGCTGTTGAATTTGCCCGTCATGTGGCCGATCACACCCTTCCCTTCTGGGTCCTCGAGGAGCGATATCGCGTCCTCGTCCAGCTGCTCTCGGCTGCTTCGTGCATGTTCGATCGCGCAAGTCCCTCGTATGATCAGTCACTTACGTCTTGGTTCAGCGACACCGCTTCCCAGAACTCAACCATGGTCAACTACGACCGATACGGCGCCATCCAACTCCGCAGCACAGAGCTCATGCTCCTCCAGGCTGTGCGCCCCGTGGAACACGCTCAACAGCCTGTTAGCCTGCTTCTTGCTTCAAGCGGCATGGCAGCGTTCCAGATTTTATTGCATTTCTTTCTACAGCGCCTTCGTCCCGGCGATCATGTACTCATGCCTCCATACGTCTACTTTGAGGCCTCTGAGCAGGTCAAGAGCATCGCATCCACTGGTCTCTTTCATCTTTCTCAAGCCGAGGGCTTCGACTCTGCAAGCCTGATCTCTACAGCCGAGGAACGTGACTCCCGCGTCGTCTTCCTTGATCCTGTTGCTAACATGGCCGGTTTGCCCATCACTGATGTCCGTGACTTTGCACACAAAGTATCAATTCGGCCTGGATGGGAGAAGCGTATTGTCGTTATTGATGGGACCATGATTTCGGGTGGTCTTCCGATCTATGATTGGTTCGTTGGTCCACACGCTCCCCTGGTCCTGTATTCGGAGAGCGCAAGCAAGTACCCTCAGTGGGGACTCGATATTCAAATGGCAGGTTTCGTTGTTTTCCCCAGCGAATTCGATGAAGAGATGCGAAGGATCAGACGGAATCTTGGTTCAGTCATGTATTCGCGCGGAGTTTCACTCTTCGCTCCATTGGATTTTACCCATTACCAGTCCCGCTTGGCCATGCTCACACAAAACTCGCAGACTTTGTGCAGCCATCTTGTAAAATCTCTGGCTAACGTAGCCACCGTGGACTTCCCCGTGGGCTGGTCTGAGCTAGGCTGGCGTCACGGAGGTTCCATCATCACCATCGAGTTTCTCGAAAAAGGATTAAATAGTAAAGAGGGTCTTGATGCTTGTATTGAGCTTGTTATTGCCACGGCAAAGGAGCATTCGCTGCCCATGACCAAAGGTGTTAGTTTCGGCTTTTCCACCTCCAGGATTTCGGCGAGCTCTTCTATGGCCGAGAATACAGATCCTTTCCTTCGTATTTCTGTCGGTGTTGAGAAGGACGATGTACCGCTGTTAGAGACTGTGGTAACGTCAGCTGTATTGGCATACGCCAAGGAGTTCAGCACATAAGCAAGAGTGGCAATGTTCTAGCGAGTATTGAATCCCAGAGGGAGTTCACTGAAATCGAATCATCTGCTCGGGCCCAAATCTAGGACAAGTTTTCATCCACGAGCTTCATTTTGCAACACAAGTAGCATTCTGTCCAACAGTCTAAGTAGCCTTTATGGTAAAGAAAACGTCGATGGCAATTTGGGCTTTAAAAAGAACCGCCATAAGCCACAATGTGAATGCGCAGTGCCGTGCTAATGGACCAGTCTTGGCAGAGTGCATCGCAATACCGGACCCGAGGTAACAAGTCCAGCGATACAAAATTTACCCACGCGCCAAGAAGAAAGCGGCAGCTCTCTCCTATCTATGGAAATGACATCGCGAAGGCCAGCTCTGTACGATGAAAGGTGGAAAGGGCATGAACATCATCGTCATCAACTTCAAATTGTTCAAGGCCTGAGTTATCCCCCGGGTGGTCGCACAAGTCGGTATGCGGCTCTTGCGGAGAAAGTTGCAGGGAATGCAGGTGAAAAGGCGATGCAAACTCATGCCCCAGACATCTCTTTTGCTGCAATGAGGCCATGCCCAACATCTGGTATTGTATGCGCTTCGTTCGTTGCGACATTACCGTACTGCCGTAAACGACCAAAAATGCATTTGATAGAACCAGACATGTCAACAATCAAGCCAGCTTGATTGATATCAAGCTGGCTTGTCAAGCTGTATTGTCAAGCTGTATACTCAAGCAAGCCAAGCTAAGGTTTAGTAATGAACAATTAATCAAGCTGCGTAAAGTTAGCTTGATTAATAAGCTTAATAAGCTTAATTAGTAACGTGAGGCTACTAGGTTTGCTGTAGTAGCAAGGCTATAATACTTTTCTAGTGTTAAGAGTTAGGCAATTGCTGTGTTATAAATGCCTTAGTTACGTGTGACTTATGAATAGGCTTAGCCTCTTGGCGGTGCTTGCCTATAGATAGCTCCTATCCTCCTAGACTAGGACAATACAATCACGTTACACTCTACTTTTAGACCTCTTATCCTATTAGATACTATAGCAATAATATATAAAAAATCCTACAATAACGCTATATATATATAAAGGGCTTAAAATAAAACTACTACTACTATAATCTAAATGCTATTTAAAAAAACTTAGTAACTTTAACCTCTATACTACCTATTTGTATAGCCTTAAAAATGCTATAACTATTAAGCTTATTAATTAAGCTAATCAAGCCGCCTGATTTTACCTTATCAAGCTAATCTAAGCTGTCTTTTTTGGCCGATAGATCAAGCCAATCCAAGCTGGGGTACCTAGCTTGATTGGCTTGATTGTTGATAACTCTGGATAGCACAAGGAAGGCTGCTCTAACTTTGTAGCCAGCGTTATGGCTATGATAATGTTCAAGAGTTTATTACACGCTTAGCGAAGGTACAGCGGAAGGGACATTGCCAGAGGCAACCAGAAAATGACGGGAAATGTGGATGCTCTGAGGTCGAGCTATTAGGCCATATAAATATCCGCTCGATACTCGTAGGTATTTGTTCACTGGATTAATAGCTTCTCAACTTTATGTAGGCGGGTACTAATATTCTTAAGATTGTATAGTCGAAGCGAAGTTGGTAATATTTAGGGCGTGAAAGCTTCGCGGCCACTCTAACGTTACCTTTTCATATTCTCTCCACACATCCAAAGGCTCTAGAACGACTACATGCCGATGTATTAAAGCTACCAACTCATCCATGCCCTGATTACGCTGAAACAGAAGCGTTTCGCTATCTTAATAATTTATGTCGTGAGGTCTTTAGGGTATATGCTTCTGGTATGTAATGCTTGAGCCTTTTAGATTCTTATGAACATTTGACAGGATGGTAACAACTGTTATGATATGGCGCCAAGCCACTGAAACTATTTCAATAGACGATACGCTAACTCTTGTGTGTACGAATGTCAAGTTAAAATCTTAGGTATTCTACTTTCACTTGTTCATTTGGGGTTATCTCCAGAGAACTTTGAACCAAATTGTTGAGAATCACCTCTACCTCAATCAGCAACGCCTTATGCCTTCTAGTCTTTCAGTGGCAGGTTAAGGGTTTGTATAGGGAATTGTTGGGCTATGCTGGCGTTTAAGGCAACCCTAACAACTATTATAGGGAACTTTGAATCTGAGGTTGAGGAGTTAAAATACGGCTTGGAAATTATTTAATTATTAGACCAAGGGGCGCCTTACGCATTAAATTCAAAGAAAGACAGGGAGTGATAAAACGTGCATTGATGCTATAGGATATACCAATCAGGATTTCAATCAAAATACCCCTGATTGACTATAATCACCCTCAGTGAGCGAGTACACATGCTGTTTGAACGAGCAACAGTTTCCAAATTATTGTACCTCTTAGCCATAGTTACATGTTACCCCCACTAGAGAGAACGCGATAATACATCTCAAATTACAACCGCATGGGTAATGCATGGAGTCATTCTTTGCATTCCGCACAATTCGTATTATAAGACAGGATGCTTTGCGGGCTCGTATTGGTTATCTATATGGAATACGTTTGTTCCATTCTGTTCCAATTTTACGTGGAATCCCTATATCTTTCCTCTTAGTATTTTAACTGTAGGACTGGTGCAAGCGCGGCCTAAATTTGGTTAGGATACATTCCATAGGCACTGAAATTTGCCAACTGTCCCGCGACGCAAACTCACTACATATGTTTCGCGAGAATCTTAATGGGATAAGCCTGACCTGTAATTAGCAGATTTAAAGCAGTGGATGGAAGGGTTTGAGACAAAACGAGAATAGCTCACACGACGTGAAAATTGATTCTTGAGAAGGCGTTATTGCTAGACATTGAATTTAGATTGTGCCATGCGCCGTTAGAATAGAGCCTCTTCGTAGTTCCATAGTAAAGTGAAAATTTGCCCTGTCATACGAACAAATCATCATCGCACCGGGTAATTTGCATCTCAAAGCAAAGAAATGTACATTTACAGCACTCACTGCAAATCAAAACTTAAAACATGCTTTGCACGTTGTTCAAATTGTAGCAAGTAGCACTTTCCGTTTGGGAGTGGAACTTTGGTCAATCAATCAGGCCATAGACTGATTCTTGACACCATCATTTGCTCTTACCGATTTATGAAGGCTTGTAGGTTCTTGTATTATCTATTCTTGATCGCATCCTTTGGGAAGTTTTGGAGGAGAGTATATAGATAGTATAATAATCTGTTTATCCATTGCTAATGCGATAATTTCTTTAGCAGTCACATTATACTTTCCAGCAATCTAGTCAGCAAATTTAATTAGATCCTCGACTCAGCATTATGTCTTACTCTCGTCAAGGTTCAGGCGCAGATTTTCGATAACTAGAGAAACACACTAGGAAGGAACGTGGAAAAATTATGTTAAAACTTCTCTTTGAAATCGACGTTTACATGCTAATATTTAGATACGATAGTTCGCTTAAAAGCATAGTTATAGGTCATGTTACCAGTCTAATAAACTGGCCTTTCCACCTCACTTAGAACACTATTGGCATGGCAAAATAGATGTCAACAGTTCTAGGAATATCTACCTATTTGTAGAGAAGCGTATCCAGACCGCATATGACATCCATGCGACCTATGTTTTGTTCATTGATGGCATCGTCCACGAAATGGGTGACGCACTTGACGAATTGGAAGTTCGTCTTGTAAGCAGACGGCCACTGAAGCTCCCAGCTTACAATCTATGGTTGTTTTCCTACTGGAGAATAGCAAGCACATGGGGCCTTATACCACAGCTGTAAACACCCAGGCCACGATCAAGTTCGTATCTAGCCACATTTTAGAGCGTTACTATAATCAAATATAGTGTCACCCGTGGGCGCGAAGAAGTTTTTAATAAGATTCCCTGAGAGGACAGGATATACGTCTAACGCACACTTTTGTCTCCCTAATACCATGTTCCCCGAGACGGAATATTTGCATGTATGCATGCCCTGCAGTGAGGACCTCATCAACATTCTTGGCTCTGGGAATGATATCCTTTCCTCATACAAAGAATCTGTCAGGTAGTAAGCGATTGAAGTATATCTGCAACATAGCCAATAGGAATAGTTTAAAAGCGCGGCGAATGCTCTCCGCCTAGTCTGCAAGAATGTTATAGAAGATTTGCTCAAGAAAAAGAAACTTGTAGAAGACTACCAGAAGATTTGGGATACCATCGAAGAGTCTAAAGGCAACCTTGTTTTTTTGAACCCTAATAATCCTAGAGTTATTAGAGAACAATTAGATTAGTTTCTGGCAGAATACTAGCTTAGTACGGCCAGGACAGTCTGCGTTAAACCACCATATATTTAGTCGGGACTATGAGTATGCGACTGTTTATGACTAAGCCACCACTGATTGGAAGCTGCCTTCTCCTATAGTGCGAGATTTCTTCTTGGATTCCATAGGTCTAGCCCATGTTTACTTTCTTAAAGAATTAATATTTCATTAGAGGCCGAAAGAGTAGTGATCTTACCATGGTCAGGCTTATAAAAGGTCGAATAGGTAATATAAAGCAATGAGCCTCTTTGATTAGCTTAAGTAGAAGTTAACCTTCTACTAAAGATTGTCAGAATCACGGGAAACCCCTAAAGTAATCTTAACTAACTGAAAATAGTAACATTACTAGGGGCGCAGGAATAGATAAATCGTGAACGTATTACGGGCCGTTATTATAAAAAAAACTTAGCATCAAAGTTATTATTAAAAACCGTACTCTACCTTCGTTCTTAATTATACTTCTTAAAGAGAGGAAAATTAATAAATGTACCTTTGGAAAGTTAGGTTGCCCTTAAGGTTTGAGTCCTTTATGGGTCATAGTCAGTGTTAAAAGTCGACTTGTATCAATTATGCAGTAAATCAGGGGGAATTAGGTAAGATTATAATTCTACAATTCTACACTTGTATATATAAAGTGAAAACGGTGTATATGTATTTCCTAGGTTGTGACCAATAAATTGCCTTGCTTCTAAGAATGAGACATACAACAGGTGGAAAAGGTTCACAGCACTGTATATTTCCTACAATGCGAGGTGTGGAGCTATTTGTGAAATGTTGCAGAGCAATGGCGCACAATAAATGTGTTTCGTAGTGCATAACAAAAAAACGTCTTGCATTCGTACATATGATTGAACTCTGGCGTCTATGGGCAGTGCGGATTCAATTCATGATATATACATAGCACATCGGTGTGCGCCTACGTGAATGTTCGTGACGCTTGTTTTCCCCGCGGCAGCAGCTATCAACGCTGCTGATTTATATTCTTGCACTAGTAGACGTAGAATACTAGTGTTTCTGGGTTGGTCTCTCGGAGTTTCTTGTTCTTCCATTGCAGACTGAACCGCATGAGCCAAACTGCCATCACGGCGACCACCGAGAACGCAATAGCCGCCATCCAGGCCTTCAGAAAGCGCGGATTGTCACTTGACGGCCATAGATAGGGCGTATACACACTCGAAAGGTTGCCGATGGAGTTACAGATGGCCAGAGCCACTGCCTTTTTCTCTGGCGTCTGGCCCAAGGTTGCGGATGTCCAGCCAAGCATGATGTTGTTGATACCAAATGAAAAGGGAACAAACAGAAAGATGGCTACAAAGCGTGCTGCCACGTTTGTTGTAACAGCAGGGATGATGAAACCGATAATGATTACAGCTTTGCATACGGTGATGTGCCATGTGCGCTCGTTGTAACGACCTGAAGTGTACGACATGGCAACGGCCATAGCTGCAGCCAGCAAGTATGGCGGGCATGTTAATGCCAGAGTTGTAGTGGTATCATATCCAAGAGTTCGTACAACCGTGGGCAGGAAGCTCTGGAAACTAACGGAGGATACGTGCATATTGTACATGAGACAGAAAACCCAGGTGCGCCAGTCGACGAGGGCTTGTCGAAGACCGACCATGACGCTGGTTGCTTCTTCTCGCTGCGTGGTGTCGGCTGCGATACGTGTGTGGGCAAGTTGACGTTGTTCAGGTGTAAGCCAGCGAGTGTTCAGAGGGTGGTCCGGAAGCAGGTAGATCGAGAAGAATGCGACACCGATGGATAGGGTACCCTGAATGATGAAGAGCCTTGAATGAAGCCATGTCAGTGCTCTGATGCATTCATACGGTGGTGGGGATTTTAAACATACCATCGCCATCCAGAAAGACCGTGTTTACCGTCGAGACCGGCGAACACACCAGCGGCAATGAGGCCAGCAAAGCTAGAGGCCATCATGTTTCCAGTGTAAAATATGGCCATGCGTGTGGCGATTTCTTTTTTGGTATAGAACAGAGACAGGAGAAAGAGAGCACCAGGGTAAAACTTTGAAACTTTGTTAGACCCCACCTTTGACAGAATGGACATGCACTTACTGGAGCCTCTGTGAGACCGAGCATGAAGCGGCATGCTAACATGCTCCCGAAATCGTTGGCCAGATAAGTTAGAAGACAAGTAAGAGACCAGGCCATGCAAAAGCCTGGAGAATTAGCTTGGGCTGAGCCGAAACGGGATGTCATACGCACCACCCAAGTACCACGACGGTCTGACACGGTTCAAGATCATGTTGGAGGGGATCTGTCCAGCAATATATCCCACGAATAAGATAGAGATGAGAGTGTTGTATTGAGTTCCTACAAGACCCAGGTCTTCGTCTAAAGTGTTGAGTTTGGCGTTGACGAGGGCATTTCGGTCCAGAAAGTTGAAGCTATAGATAATTAGGCTATGTTCGCATGTTCTCTGTGAATCGTGGAAACTCACAAGTACATTATCCAGAGCATAGGCTATTCGAACCCTAGTTAGTAAGATATTCCTTCAGCATGGTGGGATAGTCTTACAAGAATGGTTCGATCAAGCTTCTTTACCAAAGCGATCTCCTTGGGGTCGATTTTGCTTCGAGCTCCGAACTCATCTAGTTTTGCATCCACAGCCACCTTTTCTGGAGCCATGTCGGACTCCCTTGTTCGAGTGCGTTCAACATGTTCTGCGGTCGCAATGTCCATTTTTGCGTGCTCAGTGGTCTCAAGATGACCGGGGTCTTGTTGTCCAACATGATCAGCGGTAGTCATGTCGCCTCAGTTCGACCGTGGTGCAAGAAAAGAGAAAGGGCAGCTGAACAGATTGCGTACCGTACTAGTAAGATGTGAGCGTCCGCACACAAAACCAAATGGCGGTGGAAGTATTATATAGGTCGCACATCGGCGCCTATTGCCGTCCCAGGCTGGTCAAGAACATAGCAGCTTGCTTCGTCCACAAGATAGCAAAGCCATGTCTTGGTTCGGCTTGGGATAAACGCCTTCGAGGATACGAAGACGCTATGTATACGCAAACTAGCTTAGTGGCCGAAGTACACCCGGGTAAAAAAAGAATGACAGAACGAGGCTTCAGATGGGCAAGACCGTCGGAGCTGTGATTTAGCTAGCCGAATATCTGATGTCTAGCTATCAGATGTGAATTAATCGAGCAGAGTACACAGCATGTGTGGACGGTCTTCATGATGCTGATTTACCTAGCAGTACCCATAGTAGGTTACCGTCAACGTGAAACGTGCAACATTTGCACAACCCCAGATTTTTCCCCACGATCGCATGGCTTGGTGCGGGGTCTCCGACCGCCCAAGACTCTAATCTTCGGCGCTATTGCTTGGAAACTTGGCTGTACACTAAACGAATAGGCCGGCCCATTGTGATCTAGAAAAAGGCTCATGCTCCAGAATCTACCGCGCTTCATCGGTGAAGATCCTAGATTGGTTTGGAGTGAACATTGGCACCCTAGGCTGCTCGCTGTGTTCTGTTGCCGAGCATTCACTTGGGCCGCAGAATTTCTTAGCATATATGTGGTCTTGACTTCTTTGGAACTCACGATGTACATAGGCGTATCCCTAATTGGATACACTCCCCGCGGCGATGTTTCGACCGAGTCCAAGGAACCGGAAAACCGAAGTTCCAGCTAGAGGTACCTACATGCTAGCCGACCACTAGATATTTCCAGAAGTTCTGAACATTCTCCATCTATCTATGAGAAGCGCGTTGCTGCATTTAATGTCTTACTGTCGTGATAATTTTGAAATCTACACGCATTTGCTCCATTGATTTCTGGCACATACTGCTCTCAGGCCATGGGAATGTGTTATGCATGCTGAATGGGTGGTAAAGGCGCTTCGCCTTCACGGCTGTCTTTGGTAGTCAAAGACACAAACGTTGAAGACTTGTGCTTTCAAAACATCGGCTTCTCAACGAGTAAGTGTCGATGAATGACATTCACTTGAAAAATAATGAGATATCTTGAAGTAACTCCTCGTCTTGGGAGCGGCAACTGGACATTGCGAATTAGTTCAAGCGACAATCAGGTCAACATGCTCCTCTCTATTTTGTGGCTACGTCCTGTGTGCAAGTACTATGACAACCTACCTCCATTAATCTTTTAGCAATTGTTTAAGAGAAGGGATCTTGCTGAAATCCTGTGTGACACGCAGCGGGTTTGAAGACAAACCATGTTCATGGCACCTGGACACTGCTTATACGGTATGAGGCCATGAAGTTACGAGGCGATCAAACAAATACGCAACTCTCCAGCACGCACTTGAACGGAATAGCTTCTGTTTACGTTGCAACAAGAGAAAACGTCTCAATGATAGAATATGTATCGAAAAACCTCTTGTTCAATCGCACTGCCACCGTTTGTGCTGATGCCAGGAGTCGTTAAGCAAGCCGCGGTCAACAATGCGTGACTCATACACATCAAACACTGTTATGAGATGTAGGTAAACGCACTTAGAGCAAAAAAGCAGTCAGTTTCACCGAAGTACTAGAAGCATATTCTCTTGAAACAATCGCAAATTTTGGAGACCGTAATCACAATACCATAGTGAGCTATTCGAGTAAGCATCTCATGAACAATTTTCGTCGGGAGGTCTTTCCACATAAGGCAAAGGAAGTGGTACATATCAGGGGTACTCTTGGCATGCATTCCCAGTCCTGGCCCTGGCTCTCGGTGTAGGTAAGGCCCGATTAACCTCGGCCTCTACCGAGATCCAAGCTCTGCTGCTTAATCATTGCTCAAGTCCACAGTCTCACTGTTGATCGTGTGGGGTCTTCTCTCCGCGCCTCGTGCCTACTAGACCCGGTACCGGTATGGCCGATCTGCTGCATCCATGTATGCCTTCACAAAGCCGTCTGGGTGATGTCGACATCCACATTTTTTTCTCAGTTTCATCAGTAGATGGAGACTTGGTCATTCTCATTATACCGGGCGCGAATATCCTTGATAACCTCCATTTTTCACCCTGCCTTGTATATGGTACCTAAATGAAATTTATAGCGGACGACCTGGAAAAAGGATGTTGTAGAAGCCAATGATTTATGCCGTGCTGAAATGATCAAGGTACATTCAAGACATTCTGAGGACATGCACTACCGTCAAAATCATCTTCATTCCCTAAGAAATCAATATTTCATCTTGTTGTCATAGCATCTGGGCCTTCATTCAGTTTTCAGAACTCGTACATATACACATTTATACTTGAAATTTATTATAAACGCCCTTCCAAGCCACAGTAATCATCGGAGAGCATAAGAGATTTCGTAAGGTAGTGCAATACTAATCTGAGTGTGGAGCTTGTTGCAAAGCGTACCTGTCTATGTTACTCACGAAGTTAATAACAATGTTAAGTACACTCCTTCTACTACTTACAGTTCTTATTTGCGTTATTCTGTCAGCCGCCGTCATTTTTGACCATGAATTATAATCCCTCGTAACGGTTCTGCGCATCTCCATATGGACAAGAGATACGGTAGGCTGATCAAAGCTAAGCCCCACTGGTACAATTCACCATGCTATCCGCTCAAAGTGATATCGGGCTCCTGTTCTCTCAAATTGATACGTCGTGAATAAATCGCCCGTGAGGTGGTATGAATGCTCTTATGTCGCAATCTTCAACAAATGTGACCAAAAAAGAAGCTCGTTCCCTGCGCCGCAGAAGCCGCATAAGACGACTTCCAAGTCACTGAGTGATAATTTAATCCTTGTATTAACCTAGGTTGGTCGGCGCGTTAATAAAACATGGGAGAGAGCAGAGGTTAAAAAAAGCCGTAACAGAATACTTCGTGCACCAGAAAGAACACGGGGTGATACATGAGGTCAGGATTCGGACTATGCAGATACCCAATCTGACGCCGGGGTGTTATATTGATACCTTGCGCGAACCTGCTGCAAGCATGGATGGTCGTTGGAGATGATACATGGTTCCAGTCAACATAGGAGTGCTAAATTTAGCGTTATGCGAGCATTTACCTATCAGCGGGCCGCCCTGATAATTCAACCCCTAAATTACTAATGCAGCTCTAAGGTAGTAGAAACGTTGCGATAGAAACCCGCACTATGAATCAATTGGCGAAAGCGATACTTGAGAGGTTCCCGAGATATTGGTGGCTGGAAAGACCCCGTGGAGGAGGCTCGTAGGTTCACGGCCCACAACCATGTCATTATCGGGTGAGCATAGGGCAGTGCGCGAAGAGGCATTGCTGTCGCGTTACTATGCTCTATTTTATGTGCTATCATTCCTGCCGTCATGACCTGGCGATACCGATTGTTTTCAGGTTGATTCCTCTGGGGGCATACTTGTGGCGCTCGGACAATGATGGAATTGATGGACTCACGAATGGGAGGTAGTAAAGGTGAGATATTCAATCCACGAAGATGTAATCGTATTGCCTATTCCATCATGTTAAGCTATCTATTAAGGAAGATGCCGATTGAACCAAGATTTCATAGTTGTTCTTTAAACCCACAATAGTCTTATAGACTTCTATGTACAGGCAGATAACGAAGTATTGTCAAGGAAGTTTTAGGTTATCTTAGCGACGACGAGGGAGAGGAATCGCCAGAGCGAAACCTGAGAACATTTCCGATGGGTCAATAGCAGCCTTGATCTGCTGTAGCTTAGCAAAGTTTTTGCCATATAGTCTTGAACTCCATTCCTTCACACTAAGCTCGGAGTCAACGTAGTTGACGAAGCCGCGAAGCAGTCCCGCCTTCTTCAGAGCGGCTTCAAATGGCTTGAAAAGATCATGCATGTACTTGATGCCATCGCTAGGCCAAACACCATCTTTTCCGATACCGTCCACACGCACGAGCCAAAGGTTCTTGCCATGGGCAAAGGCATGCTCGCTGTCTTTGACGTCGTTATTGTCACCCGCCCATAAATCCATAACGCCGGTGCGAGTCATGTCAGTTCGGTTGAAGGCGCGGATAGCTGAAATCAGAAGCTTGAGTTGCTCTGCAGTGAATGGGCTGTCGGTAGTCTTGACCCAAGACTGGACGTGGGAAGCGCGGCCTCCAAGAGTACCACCTTGGGGATCGTTCATTCCAGGGCCTGCAGCAGCTATCTCAGAGTCCCAAAAGGATCGTTGGATAGTCTTGGTCACGGTGGCGTTGATTCCGATTGCATTGAGCGAGTTAACAAGCGGGGCGAGGGCTTTGTCGAATGAAGCTTCATCCCCGTAGTAGAATCCTGTGGAATCTGCCTCACGAAGCGAAAATCGAAGTGAGAGTTCATTAGGTGCAAGTCCATCAAGGGCCCACTTCTGAACAGCCATAGCCGCAGCAGTAGCACGATCGTCGTCAATTTTGCCCAAGGAAAGCGTGTAATTCAGAGGAGTCTCATACGGAACTGGGAAGGTCTTGGTAGTTGTAGAGAGTGCGACTCCGAAGTTAGGTCCCGCTCCCTGAGCCGCCCAAAGGAGATCAGACCCAGGAGTTGCGTTCACGATTGTGCCATTAGCGAGCATAAACTCAACGGACACAAGGTTTTGGCTCGGGATGCCGAGAAGTCTGCTTGTGGTTCCAAAGCCGCCGCCGAAGATGCTACCGGCCATTCCAACGTGAGAGCCTCGCACATGAGGATAGTGGTAGTGATGTTTGTCATAGGCAAACTTGGCTGCAGGTCCAATGTTCACGCCTCCGCCACAGGTGAGCTGTTTTGTAGACTCATCAAAAGTGATATCTGTAAAAGCATCCATGTCAATCACTAGATTGCCAGCGAAACCGAAGCCGAAGCCTTGGAATGAGTGTGCCCGTCCAGTAACCGAAACTTTGATAGAAGCTTGACGGGCACACTCCAAAGCTAGGGCGACCTCATCCTTGTTCTGGGGGAAAGCAATGGCAGCTGGTGCTCGCGGAATTCTTTGTTGGAAGGCATTGGTAGCGTTGGCCCAGCCGGCGTCTGTGGATAGAATTGCGCGAACGCCCTTTTCTACAAGGCAAGAATGAACGGCGGTTCCTTTATCTGATTGTCCCCAGGCAAAAGCTGACGTGAGACACAGCAAAGCCAACAATGGCTGCTTTGAAAACTTGGGCGCCATGGCGTAATTTAATGAGAGAAAGAGATGCTGAAAAAGAGACCGTGTAGGAGTTGGGCTACGAGAGCGTGATCTGCAATCGTAAGTGAACTTGGCTTCCTTATGTACATGTTCAAACTGGCTAATCTCTTCCGCAATATATGAGGGGCTCTTCTCGTATGCAATCACTAAGTGTACACTGAATTTCAAACTGTTCGGTGCATCTCGGTGCGTGGTATTGTGCCTGGTGCGACAAACGCCAAGGCTTGGCCATTCTCACACCATTCCAACCGGAAGCTTCGGACAAGGACACTACCGGTAAAGGGAATTGCACCGTAGAAGGATCGAGCAGTGATTTCTTGTGCAGTCTTATGTTGGTTTTTGACTGCCTGGTATCCTTATCTGATCTGGAGGCCTGGCGAATTGACCTTTCTGGTACAGACATGCCTATTGCAGAGACGCAACCGAAGCACCTCCTCATTTACACGGTGGGGCAGTGTTTGGGGTTCGGACGGGAAATGCTAATTGTCCTCGCCACAATAGACTAATCGTCCTCGCCCTTCCTAATAGGGAAGCGCCAAGGGGTAATCGCCTGAGTACTCTGTCTTGGCGTTGTATGTAATTTTCTATAATACAAGGAGATATAATACCTACCTAATTCACTTTGTAGCTATTGCTAGTAGTAAAGTCACAGCTTTTGCTAGCAAACCTAGGGTAGGAGTAAATAGGGTGGTAAATGGGTATAGGTTAGGTTAGGGTTAGGTTAGCTTATGTAAGACCCTAAACCTAACCTAAACCTAACCACAAATTTTCGCACAGGCTATAGGCTTAGGTTAGGTTTAGGTCGCACAGGCTATAGGCTTAGGGTAGGGTTAGGTTATATAGACCTTAGGCTTAGGTTAGGTCTTATAAAAGTAGGTTAGGGTTAGGGTTAGGTTATATAGGCTATAGGCTTAGGTTAGGTATAGGGTCTTATATAATCTACTTATAGTATATATATAATAGGTATCTATTATAGGCATCTATTATAGGTATCTATTATAGGTATCTATTATAGGCATCTATTATAGGTATCTATTATAGGTATCTATTATAGGCATCTATTATAGGTATCTATCTTAGGTATATATTATAGGTATGTGTTATAGGCATTTATTATAGGTATTTATTATAGGTATTTATTATAGTATAGAGCTTAGTTAATTTATAAGAGAACTATATAATCCTTTAAAGTATATATATAGTGTAAAGGGCTTAGGCTTATACCTAAGCCTAGGTCTAACACAAGATAGACTAAGTCTAACACTACTACTAAGCGAACACACTAGACACCTATAAAAAGGCGTAGAGGGCTTACCTCTCCTTTAAGATACTAAATACTATTATTAACGCTTATTATATTCTCCCTTAAGGCTAGTCTATAATATTTTAGTATCTTCTTCTAAATATACTATAATAGTAATAAGAGATAGACACGCTAGATATTTAGAATAACTAGGTGCAACCTAATATAGTAGAAAGGCTAATATAGCAGGTTTATAGATTAATAGAATAATAGGCTTAAGACTCTGCTATAATAGCTATACTACGTTAATAGAATAAGGAAATACGCAATTAGATTCTATCCTAACCCTCCTCTAAGCCTGCTAGGTTTAATAATCTACTACCTCTACCCCCTTCTACCTTATAATACAAACCCTTCCTAGTTAGCTTGCTATATAATAGCACTAAGGTAAACTTCTCCTTCTAGTAAATAACTATAGAGTTTAAACTACGTGCAGATAAGGTCTTTATTAGGGATAAGGAGGCAAGGTTTATATATATTTAGTCCTAGTTATTACCTATAGTCTAGCGCGCTATAGCACTATACTTTAAGGATAGTGCACGTAAGTATTAGGATATAAGTAGGTTTCTTAACTACCTAGTATTCTATTATAGTAACTATTATAGGTAGGAGCGTGCCTAAGTTATATTAAAATACTTATATTAGGGCTAAAATTAGCCTTTTATAGAGTTCTTTATAAATTTTATATAGCTTCTTATATAGTTAGGAGGTTTATACTAGAATAATAAATAGAAGCTTTTATAACTTTAGTAATCTCTTAATAGTTATATACGCTTAGTTTCCCTTAATAGGGGAGTCTCTAGGATAAACTATAACGCAGCTATAGAGGAATATAAGATAATTGCAGTAGATATTAAAATAGCCTCTCTAGAACTAGGCTTTCTTTAGGCTAGTAAGTCTAAGGAACCCTAGTAGAAGTCTAACTTAGATTTAGGACAGTAATATAAATATAGTAGAAGTAGTAGTCTTATTAAGTATACCTACTAAACTACTAATATTATATCCTAACTAGATCTTATAGGACCTATTTAATATATAGAAACTAGTAAAGGTCTATACCTAGTGTAGATAGGGTAGTTATTTTATACGTGTATGCCCTAATACCCTATTACTATAACTAGTAGGTGTTAAGATAGTTGTAGTATTAGCAAGTAGCCCTAATTTAGGAAACTAGCTACCCCTAACTTTAGGCTAAGTTAGGGGTATAAGGAGGACACTATAATAGAGGAATTATTAATAGCAGAGGCTATTAAGTGTCCCCTAGATATTAAGGCTAGGTTAAATAATCCTCCTTTCTTTATTCCCCTCCTCCTAGGTAGAGTAGAGAACGTGTAAGTAATAGTTAATTTAGGGTGCTAGTGTTTTAGTGTAGTTAAGGAAAAGTTAGTAAGATAGATTAGTAGGAACTTTATAGATATTCCCCTGCGACCCTTGCAATATACCTAGGGAATTACTAAGGGTATAAGAATTTTATAGTTAGTAGTATTAGACTATAATTTAGATAGTTAGTAGTCTTAGCTTTTAGCCTATATAGTACCTAGTCTCTCCTATTAACTAATACTAGGCAGACTATAGCTATATAGAGAGGGCGTTGTTATAGATATTCTATAAGGTAAATTAATAATTAGGAAGGTAGGAAATATAGTAGTATAAGAGAGTAGGAGACGCCTATATCCTACCTATATCTCTATTATCTTAGGTTTAGTTATAGCAGGGTTGCTAAATAAAGGATCCTAATAGGAAGATATATAGGTACAAATTTTTGTAATAAATATACTAGATATTTTATAGGTAATATATAACTTACACCTAATAAAATATCTAGGAAGTGTTAATAAGGGAAGTCCTATTAATATACACACTATCTATATTGCTAATAATATAGTTCCCTATAAACCTAAGTATAAAACTAGAAAGATAAAGTTGCTACTAGAACTATAAGAGTTTAAGGACCTGTTTAACAAAGAGTTAGCAAGTAGTTTGCTACCTTATTAAGGTAGTATAGATTACTATATTTAGTTAATAACTCTCCTAGATAGAACCTAGCCTAACCCCTTATAGGGTCCCCTATACCCTATATCGCGTAATTAATTGCTAGAACTAAGAATATAACTTACTAGATTAATAGATAAGGGCTAGATCTAAGTAAGCTCTTCTATAGCTAGAGCTCTAGTATTGCTAGTAAAGAAGCTGTTAGGTAGTTAGCGCCTTTATATAGATTACTAGATACTTAATAGCATAATAATATTAGACTAATACCTACTACTACTTATTAAGGAAACTTTTGTAACAATAAGGCAGAATTGCCTGCCTATTGTTCCATGCTAAGTTAGGCCTAATAAAGGCCTAACTTACTAATATATATAGAGAACAGCTCGCCTATAGTTAGGATAGGCATGTTCTTCTTGTCCTTTTGTACAAGACCTATAGGTGTAGGAATCTTATCCTTTTCTATACAGACGCGCACTCCTATATGCCTTTAAGTCGTATAGGATACCTTTTAGATGCCCTACCTACCTAAGTTATTATATTACAAGAAGAACATTATCCTAGCTAGTAATAGCATTTAAGAATATTGCACTTATTGTTATTTTAAGCTACTAATTTAGTTCTAGTAGCTATCTAACCCTGCAACTCTATAGTTAGAATAGCTATTAGAACTTCTAACAACTAAAGCCTATAGGCTTAGACTTCTAGACCTATAGGTAGTGCTAGATTACCTTTAGAAAAATCGCGTTAGATTGCGTTAAGGTAGAGACCTAGAGACTACTAAAAGCCTAGAGGAATTAGAGGTAAAGCTAATATCCTCCTACAACTAAACCCCCCCTAAAAAAAAGATTTATTATTCTTATTAACTACAAAATATTAGATAAAGGTAAAGGAAGGGTATCTAGTTTAGCTACTTTTAAAAGCCTATTTACTAATAGAAAGAAATTAGATAAGGAAGACTTAATTAACAACGCCCTCCTTAAAGGACCTGCTTCCTATCTATCTCTTAAGGTACCTTGTGCTCCTAGGAAATCTTAAAGTAACACCTCTCTTAAAGCATAACATATATATTAACCCTATCTAAAAAGGAGAGGTTAGAGGAATAAGTTAAATAACTTACTAATTAGTTATACAACACCTCCCTCTATAAGGAGATATAAGGTACTACCTAACCTAGCTAGTCTTTAGCTTCTATATTAAACCCTATAGTATATACTATAAAAGCTAAGAGATAATCTAAAAAGACGCTAAATATCTCTATACTTAGTAATAGTGCTAATTCTACTTTTAGATAATAGTAAGCATCTATTTAGGATAGGCTAGAGATTAACGCTAATTACTACCCCTCTTCTAGAGCTTAGATAGCGTTAGTCTAGGGACACTGCTTAGGACTAGCAAGAGAATACTTAGAGCCACGTTACCTATCTAATTCCCTAAGTCTTTAATTCTAAAAAGCTAAGGAAATAATTACCCTCCTTTAAACTTACTTTATTACTAGAAATAAGATAGCTAAAAGTTAGACTGTATTTAACCGCCTATATATAACTAATATAGAGACGTTCCCTACTTTTAAGTTATAATTCTAGAGTCTTGCTATTAGAGGAGAAGTAACCTAATTAGAGTAGTATTACTACCTCTAGATAAAGATTACACCTTCCCTAAGGATACTAAACCTTGCTTTCTAATAGAA